TTTGCACTTGAAAATGGGTTAGTTGATGAATTTGTGGGGCTGATAATAAGATTTATTGAAAATCATACTGGCGTTGATACTAATAAAAGAATGACAGTTGATATTACCCAAATTGAAAATCCAAAAAAATTGAAGCATAAAGGGCGTCCAAAGTTGCCAAAACCAGCACAGCAGAACAATCAAGATTTGAAAACAAGAAGTAAATCAAGACAAATCGCTGAAACAGATACTGAAGATGAATATAGTGAAGAAAGTTCATCACAAAATCAAGCTAATAATGATACAAATAATGGAAATTGTTCTCGTCGTCATTGTGGAAACTGTTATAGATCCGGACATTATTCTTCTACATGTCACGAAGATGAAAAGAAAAAAAAGAAAAAGTAAATATGACAGAAACTAAAAATATTTTGCTGCAATTTCCTAAAAATCATTTTAGATAATGCTACTATGCGATGCATTAAAGGATTTTTACTAGTACATGTATTTAATCCTGACACTGCTTTTATCGTATTTTAGATTTAGATATTAGTTCTTCTTTTAATGTTTTTTTTTTTTGCTTTATCTAACTGGTGAAGACAATTAATTTGTATTATATTACTTCTCTGTGAAATCAGATGTAACAAAAAAAAAATAAAGCATGAGATCAAAGACTAATTATAGTAGTGTCTTCAATAATCGTGATCTAGCAATTTTCTTAAATTCACGATACTCTTGATCGTGTAATTTAATTTAACTGTATATATATAATTTTTGGGTATTGTTCAACATGGCTATAATATTCAATGTTGTATTTTATTAAAAGATATGTGGCACAATATAATAGTTAATACTGTATTTGAGGATTATATATGACTTTATCGTGTTACATCCCAGCAAAATTTTTACCATCACATGATATACAAAATTCTTTAAGTTCGTTTATGTTAGGTTAGGACCTATGTTAGTGTTATAGTTAGAGGAGCTTTTTTTTAATAGTAAAATCGCTCAAGAAAAACTTTTTGTTAATACGCAAAAGGTGGTTTTCTATATAGATTACGAATTTTAACTGATCGCGTAATATTACACAAATTGATATTTATTATTGGCTTATTTTCATAGATTATAACATGATGGTGAAATTACATACTGTAGTAATTTTGTATTACATAATAGTCATGTGATCTGTGATATAGCAGGTTGCGATATTTAACACAATCCTTTATTTATATAATACAGATATAAGTATCTACTTACATATATATATACTACTATATATATATACGTACTTATACAAAAACATTTATAAGTATTTCACAACTGACAGTATCTATTAAATAATCTATAAATTACAGTAGTGCAAATACTGTTTGATTTCTTTTTATTTCTAATACAAATATTCATATAAGTTTTTTATAATTTTTTTATCAATTTTTAAAGTACATATATATTATAAGAACTTTTTCTGTATAATTTAATACTTATAAATAAATGAAACTAACTAATAAAGTCTGTAATATGCTTTTTAAAAAAGATTTCAAATATAAGCAGTATATGTTTTACTTTATACAATATCTTAATAGAAAAAAATAATAACATATTCTTTATAAAAGTAGATTCTATTTAGACATTAGCTTCTATAAGCATTATACCATATAATTTAAAAATACTTTAGTAATGTCTGTATATACCCTACTTTATTATTGAATTAAAAATTTGTAGAAAACCTTTACAATACTGACTGAGCTTAGAAAGATAGAGTAAATTAGCACCAGATTGTGTTTGTTAGATAGAAAATTTTTTGCATACGAATTTTTTTGTTAGAGCGTTAACTATTGATTATGCACAAAATTTGTATGCACAAATTTTTAAAACTTTTTTTGAACATGTTAGTCACTTCGCATTACATATATTTTTGCAATAAGATTTGGCATATATTATACTTTATTTCACAAAATTATTTTTTTTGTTGTAGTCACTTTTTTTCTGATTTTTTATAATAGTTTTAGATATTCATACCATCTCTAATTCTACTGTAGAAAACATATGAATATGGAAATAATTTTCATGCTAATTTATCAATACTTGAATCTAGCAACATCTTACATATTTGGTGACAAGTCAAATTACTGCTTTAAAAAATTTTGAAAATCATATAACTTCGCAAAATATGTTCTAACGTAATATATAAGCTTTTATTTTCTTAAATAACTTTTTTCATTTTTTTAGCAAGAATTAAGCATATAAGATTTTCAAACTGTATTATAAACTAATATAAAAAAATCAGTTTTAATTAGATATTAGATAGATTTATATAGTAAAATTACTTAATTAAACTTTTTTTAGAACACTAAAAGGTTTTTTCTATTATAATTTTTTATAAATAAACAATGTTGTCAAAATGAATATATGTTCTAAAATTTTTTAATCCTTTTACTATAGCCCTTACTCTTACTATCACCTTTTAAACTCTGAGAATCTATGACATATCCAACAAATATACTATGCATATTAAGTTCTTCTTAAAATACATGAGTTTGTTTTTTCTATTATATATAATTCCTTTTTTCAACTTTGATTGATAGTTCTGTACTATACTTACCTATATATTTTATGAGACCCAGCCTGAGACTAAAATACTTATATAATATCACATAAATGCTTCATATTCTTTTACTTTTTTTCAGGAATTTTAAAGAATTTATTTCATTTCTACTCTATTCTATTTACATTATCTTTTATCAATGCAATTTAATATAAAGTATCAACTTTATTCTATTTATATTATCTTTTATCAAGACATATTATTATTAAATATGAGCCAAAATTTGTGTGACTATACTACAAACAATCAAAGTTGAAAAAAGGAATTATATATAATAGAAAAAACAAACTCATGTATTTTAAGAAGAACTTAATATGCATAGTATATTTGTTGGATATGTCATAGATTCTCAGAGTTTAAAAGGTGATAGTAAGAGTAAGGGCTATAGTAAAAGGATTAAAAAATTTTAGAACATATATTCATTTTGACAACATTGTTTATTTATAAAAAATTATAATAGAAAAAACCTTTTAGTGTTCTAAAAAAAGTTTAATTAAGTAATTTTACTATATAAATCTATCTAATATCTAATTAAAACTGATTTTTTTATATTAGTTTATAATACAGTTTGAAAATCTTATATGCTTAATTCTTGCTAAAAAAATGAAAAAAGTTATTTAAGAAAATAAAAGCTTATATATTACGTTAGAACATATTTTGCGAAGTTATATGATTTTCAAAATTTTTTAAAGCAGTAATTTGACTTGTCACCAAATATGTAAGATGTTGCTAGATTCAAGTATTGATAAATTAGCATGAAAATTATTTCCATATTCATATGTTTTCTACAGTAGAATTAGAGATGGTATGAATATCTAAAACTATTATAAAAAATCAGAAAAAAAGTGACTACAACAAAAAAAATAATTTTGTGAAATAAAGTATAATATATGCCAAATCTTATTGCAAAAATATATGTAATGCGAAGTGACTAACATGTTCAAAAAAAGTTTTAAAAATTTGTGCATACAAATTTTGTGCATAATCAATAGTTAACGCTCTAACAAAAAAATTCGTATGCAAAAAATTTTCTATCTAACAAACACAATCTGGTGCTAATTTACTCTATCTTTCTAAGCTCAGTCAGTATTGTAAAGGTTTTCTACAAATTTTTAATTCAATAATAAAGTAGGGTATATACAGACATTACTAAAGTATTTTTAAATTATATGGTATAATGCTTATAGAAGCTAATGTCTAAATAGAATCTACTTTTATAAAGAATATGTTATTATTTTTTTCTATTAAGATATTGTATAAAGTAAAACATATACTGCTTATATTTGAAATCTTTTTTAAAAAGCATATTACAGACTTTATTAGTTAGTTTCATTTATTTATAAGTATTAAATTATACAGAAAAAGTTCTTATAATATATATGTACTTTAAAAATTGATAAAAAAATTATAAAAAACTTATATGAATATTTGTATTAGAAATAAAAAGAAATCAAACAGTATTTGCACTACTGTAATTTATAGATTATTTAATAGATACTGTCAGTTGTGAAATACTTATAAATGTTTTTGTATAAGTACGTATATATATATAGTAGTATATATATATGTAAGTAGATACTTATATCTGTATTATATAAATAAAGGATTGTGTTAAATATCGCAACCTGCTATATCACAGATCACATGACTATTATGTAATACAAAATTACTACAGTATGTAATTTCACCATCATGTTATAATCTATGAAAATAAGCCAATAATAAATATCAATTTGTGTAATATTACGCGATCAGTTAAAATTCGTAATCTATATAGAAAACCACCTTTTGCGTATTAACAAAAAGTTTTTCTTGAGCGATTTTACTATTAAAAAAAAGCTCCTCTAACTATAACACTAACATAGGTCCTAACCTAACATAAACGAACTTAAAGAATTTTGTATATCATGTGATGGTAAAAATTTTGCTGGGATGTAACACGATAAAGTCATATATAATCCTCAAATACAGTATTAACTATTATATTGTGCCACATATCTTTTAATAAAATACAACATTGAATATTATAGCCATGTTGAACAATACCCAAAAATTATATATATACAGTTAAATTAAATTACACGATCAAGAGTATCGTGAATTTAAGAAAATTGCTAGATCACGATTATTGAAGACACTACTATAATTAGTCTTTGATCTCATGCTTTATTTTTTTTTTGTTACATCTGATTTCACAGAGAAGTAATATAATACAAATTAATTGTCTTCACCAGTTAGATAAAGCAAAAAAAAAAAACATTAAAAGAAGAACTAATATCTAAATCTAAAATACGATAAAAGCAGTGTCAGGATTAAATACATGTACTAGTAAAAATCCTTTAATGCATCGCATAGTAGCATTATCTAAAATGATTTTTAGGAAATTGCAGCAAAATATTTTTAGTTTCTGTCATATTTACTTTTTCTTTTTTTTCTTTTCATCTTCGTGACATGTAGAAGAATAATGTCCGGATCTATAACAGTTTCCACAATGACGACGAGAACAATTTCCATTATTTGTATCATTATTAGCTTGATTTTGTGATGAACTTTCTTCACTATATTCATCTTCAGTATCTGTTTCAGCGATTTGTCTTGATTTACTTCTTGTTTTCAAATCTTGATTGTTCTGCTGTGCTGGTTTTGGCAACTTTGGACGCCCTTTATGCTTCAATTTTTTTGGATTTTCAATTTGGGTAATATCAACTGTCATTCTTTTATTAGTATCAACGCCAGTATGATTTTCAATAAATCTTATTATCAGCCCCACAAATTCATCAACTAACCCATTTTCAAGTGCAAATTTTAACCTGCTTTTGGCTACACCAAAGCCATATGCATATTCTTGATTTTGTTTAATGTTATTATAAATGCTAGCTCTATATGTATCGGGTCCACGAATAGAAATAACTTGATTTATTTCTTCATATGTATCGAATTCCACAGCAGATATACCTGGAATTACAAAATAATCAGATGCTTGCATAGGATTGGTATACCAACGTTTAGATATAAGTTTTATATCAAACTTGGCATTGCGAGATACCTTAAAAATGCTGAAAAAGTGTCTGCAATAAAAACCATGTGAAATAATATAAAGACAAGTACAAAGGTGCGTATTATCAGCCAAAAGAATAACAAAATAAGGATAACTATGGTTATGTTGGTCAAATAATGAAACCCGCCAAATTTAAGAACATTTTTGCGGTTGACTATATTTATAATATTTTCTAGCGAAGCCTGTAATGCATCGTACTTATCTTCAAGATACCCATCTGTGTATTCATAAGCATTAGGAAGCTAATAAAACATGTTAATTAAATATGAAATATAATAATGATTATGTTAGTTAATAAAAATGATAAGTCAAATATAAAATAGGCATGTGAATAATAAACCTTACTGAAGTTAAATCACTTGAAATTTCAAACAAACTTGCATGATATAAAATGCTTTGGGATATTTGAACATTTTGAAAAGATGCAGATTCTAATGTTAAATATTTTTTGATTGTATCTTGAACAGGTTCAAAAAAAACACTTTGAATACTTGGAAGTTCTCGAGTAGGTAATGTATTTTTATATTCTGAAAGCCGCTGGTGTTGTGCTACACGTTCAAGTTTCATTTGAATAGCTTGCCCAAGTTGAGAAGTGTTGTTTTAGCACCGACTTCTGCTTTAATAAGCCTATTTGTACTTTCTACCCACTGTGTGCTTTGCATCCCAGCACAAAAAGTTGTAAGTACATATATTTTAGCTCATGACTGCTGAGACTTCCAAAGTTGGTTTAAATAATTTTTTCCTGCAGGATATTGAATCAACAAATCTTCCCAACGACGCACCAATTTTAGCTCACTACGACTATTACGATACTGATACCAGTTTTGCAAAAAATCATTATAAGAACTTCCAAGTTTTCGAGATAGTTTCTTTGCAATATTTGTTTGTATATGGAATATGCAATGATTATGTTTTGAAGTAGGAAAGATTTGATTGACAGCAGAAATCATGGCAGGATCTGCGTCAGTGAATATTACTTTTGGAGATAAATCATCAGTTGCTTTTAGTATACATTCTAGGATCCACTTATATAAACTAACAGTCTCGTCTTGGACAAGTGACTGTGCTACAATCCTTGTTTGATAATGATTGTCAACAACTATAAAGAAATTTAATAACATATTGTACGCATTTGTCTTTGCAGTATTATCATTGATGACCACATCATGATAACGCTTCCACAATTCTATCTGTCTCGGTGATATCCAAAAAAGCCATGAAAGATTATTGTCAACATCCTCCAACTCAATAAAAATTGCCTACCCTGGTTCTTGTTTTTTTTGCTGCATAAGCCATTTAACCATATCTGCCACATCATTCTCCCTTTGATTACCCATCTGATTTTTATATTTACGTATTGCATTGTATAGATCACGATCATATAAAGACTGAGTTGGGAATTTTTTTGAAAGGTATCAATATTAAGCTTTAGCACCAAGACCGTATTCTTGAGTTAAAAACTTTATCTCGTCCAGAACTTCTTGTGAAAGTGAGCGTAGACTTGGAGCAAACTCCTTTCAATATGGGGCAAGCGAATGGTTATGCTCATCAACAAGCTTATTAATAAATATGGTGCCTTCATTTTTTCTATACCCTG